CCAGCGAACGGGCCACACCGAGGCCCGGCCTCCCTAACCGCGACCCCTGAGAGTAATGGGTACCTTTCAGGCCTGATGTGCTTGATTCCAACTGGCTTCTGGTTTGGGATTTTGTTGCTATCAAAAACTGCCAACTAGAAACTCCATCATAGCTAGGCCTGATGGTCTAGGCCTCTAATCCCAGCGCTCAAGAGAGTGAGGCAGGAGGATTGCTGCGAGTCCCGACCTGGAACTAATGTGTGTGATTCTGTCTCGCTAAACAAAACAAATGTGCAGCCAAGAAGCCCCGAATTGGGGGGGTGGCGGTAGGGGCTTCTTGGAAAAGGGACTAAAACGGGAATCCGATAGGCCAAATACTATCACAAAGAAAAGAAACTTACTGTGGTCATTTTCCTGGAATAGTAATCGAAAAACTAATCATACGAATACTAAACTTTGTACAGCAGATGCCACATACACACCCTTAGAATCTCCAGTTTTATCAAAGTGCGTAGTTCTTCACTACTGCCATCTAGGGACAGATATTCCAGGATGTAAGCCTTCAGCACCACGCCCCACCACACCCTGTGTTTCCTTACATAAAACAATGACGTGGTTTTTGTGTTTTTTTTTTTTTTTCCCAATCTGTGATTAAGTGGAAAAATACAGATACTGTCCTGAGTTTGAGGTTTTAGATTCTTCCTGCACAGGTCCTCCCCTGGGAGAGAGAGTGTGTATGTGTGTGTGTTCAGTTTCTCTTTTTTGGTTTTGTTTTTTTGAGACAAGGTTTCAAATAGCAAAGAAAATACTATATAGCTGAGGCTGTCCTTGAACTCCCTATTTTCCTGCCTCCACCTCCTATATGCTGGGATTTCAGATGAGCACATCAGACCCAATTTGTAGCACTTTCTATGTATCTTGTTGCCATCTTGTATTTAAATGTGAATGAATTTCTAACTGTCCAATGAATTTACATAGGATTTTCTCTCCTGCCCTTTCAAGGGAAAAAGACCTTGATGAAGTTCTGCAGACCCACTCAGTGTTTGTAAATGTTTCCAAAGGTCAGGTTGCCAAGAAGGAAGACCTCATCAGTGCATTTGGAACAGATGACCAGACTGAAATCTGTAAGCAGGTAGGTTCTGCCAGCTGCAGCTTAACACATCTGTTCTTCTTGATGAGTTTTTGCTGTTTTGGCATTTTTTTATGTTGGAAGATTTGGGAGATTTGTACAGTGTTGTTTTGTTTTTTGAGACAGGGTCTCACTATATAGCCGAAGCTGACATCAGATTCAATTGGATAGCCATGCTGGCCTGGAACTTCTGGTCCTCCTGCATCATGGTTCCTCACCCAACTCCAATATAACATGGGGGTGGGTGTTGCATATAACTATGTAGCTCTGGCTGGCCTAGAACTCATTATGTAGACCAAGCTGGCCTCAAATTCACAGTGATCCACCTGCCTCTGCCTCTTGAGTGCTAGAATTAAAGATGTGCACCACCATGCCCAGCTGTTTTTTCTTTTTGTTTTTGATGTGTGTGTGTGTATCAACAAGCAAATGTGGACATTTGTGCAAGGTGCCTGCAGAGACCAGAAAACAGCATTAGATCCCCTGGACCTGGAATTACAAGTGTTTGTGAGCCCCCTGGTGTGGGTGCTGGAAATTGAACTCCAATCGTCAAGAAGAGCAGCAAGCACTCCACTGTGCCTTCTCTCTAGCCCCTCCAGTATCACTTTAACTCAAATTTTCAATTTCCTTATGCTGCTTTAATCCCAAGAAATACCATTTACAGTATTAGTAGGAGTCTACTTACTTTGCATACACAGCTTTATTAAAACAGCATAAACAAAGAGGAATGAGAAGTTGAAATAGCTGTATTGTAACAAACAGGTGACATTTCAATGTCCAGATTGGAGAGAATGGTGGAAAGGGCCCTTCATAGGCAAAGGAGGTTCATGTGCTCCAGCTTCTCAAGTCCTCTCGCCTTTTTCAGGATGGTGGAGCTACCCCATTTAAGGGGAAGTATACAGTCTGGTCCTCTTCAAGCAGGTCAGAGGTCTCAAAATGTAGAGGATGGCTGGGAAAGAACTTTTCCTTTCTGGATAGGCATCTTTGGATGCAGGAGCAGTGCTTTGTGCCTTCACAGTCCTCTTGGTCTTTTCATAGTGAGAGCTGGTTGTTTAGTTTGAAGGGCCCTTTAGTCTTCAGTGGCTTCCCTGTAACTGCTGATAGTTTTCAGAGCATCTCCCGCAGTTTTAGGTAAGGCTGGAGGGGCAATGAAACTTGCAACTTCTATCCCAAGGCCTTGACACTGGACCCCAGCTTCAGCCCTTCCATAGGAGCACATGACTGCCACAAAGAGCCACTAGCCATCCTGGAATACTCCAAACTCCTCGGTTTTTGTTTGATCACTGTTTTTATTTTTGGAGACAAAGGGAACCACCAGGTGCTTCTGGTTTTCCCCCTTGAATTTTTTTTTTTTTTAGTTCTAGTTAGGGAACAAGCTTGTTTCACATGTAAGTCCCTTCTCCCTCTCCCTCCCCTCACCCCC